GACACAGCTCCCCAAATCAACACAGACTGTGGAAACTTCACACTGGACTTCAAGCATCTTGAATTGTGTGCCTCTCCATTCTTCCTCCAGACTCTGGGAGCTTGGTTTCCAAATGAGATGCAAAATTTGCTCTCATCAGAAAAGAGGACTTTGGACCACTGAACAACAGACTAGTTCTTTTTTTCTTTTAGCCCAGGTGAGGCGATTCTGATGTTGTTTGTTCTTTAGGAGCAGCTTGACAAGAGGAATATGACATTTGAAGCCCATGTCCAGGATCTGTGTCTGTGTGGCAGGTCTTGATGCACTAACTCCAGCCTCAGTCCACTCCTTGTGAAGGTCCTTCACACTTTTGAATGGCCTTTTCCTGACAGTCTTCTCCAGGCTGTGGTCATCCCTGATGCTTGTGCACCTTTTTCTTTCGTACCTTTCTCTTCCACATAACTTTCTATTAATGGGCTTTGATACAGCACTTTGGGCACATCCACCTTCTGCCGAAATTACTTATTGAGGCTTTCCCTCCTTATGGAGGCTGCCAATGATGGTTTTCTGCACAACTGTCAGGTCAGCAGTTTTCCCCATGATTGAGATTCCTACTGAACTGAAGCAGCCTAATGGACCATTAAAGGCTCGGGAAGCCTTTGCAGGCGTTTTGGATTCATTAGCTGATTAGAGTGTGACACTTTGAGCCTACAACATTAAACCTTCTTACAATATTCTAATTTTCTGAGCTTCTGAATTTGGGGTTTTCATAAACTATAAGCCACAATCATCAAAATTATAACAAATTAAGGCTTGAAATATATTGCTTTGCATGTACTGAGTCTATATCATATATTAGTTTCACCTTTTGAGTTGAATTACTTAAATGAACTTTTGCATGATATTCTAATTTTCTAGAGCTTCACCTGTATATATATCTAAGTGGTGGTACCTATGGCTCAGAAGGTGTGTGTGTGTCCATTACTTAAAAAGCCCCAAAAGGCATAGAATAAATCAGTGTATGAATTAATGCACTTTGACTATTCAGACTAGAAAAGCTTGATATCAGCACCACTTAATTCACCACAATATTGAACAAGACCCTGAGCAGCAAACTGAGACTCAGACATGAGTACTTAATAATTACAACTCCTTTAACAAAAGCTGTTTTATTCTCATGTTCTCCTGTAAATAAATTACAATATCGTCTTTTGTTACAAAAATAAAATGAAACCCAACCAACACGTCACATGTTGGACTCTATCCATTTCAAACTTAAGAATATGAGAAACTTTTTGTCTGGATATCCTAACTGGTTGTCTTACAAACGTTTTAACAGAAGTGTTAATTTACAGGGACTGAATTTGTGTCTCCTGGTTATCAGTCTGCTGTTCACCTGCTGTGACTGACCCCACAGCGGAGCAAGCAGACGAAAAAA